CAAATTTACAAAGTGATAAATATCAATTTGACCCCACCGGGAATTGAACCCGGAACCTTCTACGTCGCAGGCAGTCGTACTAACCACTGCGCCACATGAGCTGTCATGTCAAGTGACGAGTGATCTTTTATGTCATATTCAATCAATCCGATACTCTGACCAGAGACTACATAATTATTATTATCAGTAAGATTTCGATTGAAGTAGTTGGAGGAACATTTTTATCAGGTAAGTACCTATTCGATTCGTTCGTTGCTATTCCGTAATGACGGATGTGAATTGGTTATAATTTTGTTTTTCTTGTTTATTTGAGTGTTTGGTGAATAATTCTGATAGTGTTTTAAGCAACAAACTATTCTTAAAGTGAACATTAAATAGAAAATTGTAATTAAGGCATAAATCTGGCATTGTGCAATAGTGACGAGCGGGTCACCACGTGGTGCAAAAATTCTACTATCAAGTTTTTGTCGCCTCATATTCTGCGCAACACAGCCCCTAGTCGTCAGACTAGGGTTTCTGTGTTGTGGACTCTCCCTCGGCGTAACGCCCATACCTTACATGACTGACTAACATAACCTGACTTGACTTGACTACCTTACATAAATGGCGAAATACGCCTCTCATTACGAGGTGTGAAGCCAGTGGCTTTGCCATATTTAAAAAAAAAAAAAAAAAAAAAAAAAAAGTACCTATTCGTTTACGTTAGTGCGGTGGTCACATCTGTCGTAGAACCGATAGGCGGTGGAGTAAGTGGGTTCTCGAGTGGAGGCCACACCTAGGCAAGCATCGTTTGGCGCCCACCGATGGCTTAAATAATCAGGATGGCTAAAAGTAACTGGATGGCTTCTTCTTTCCGAGTGGGAGGGACACCAAGTCGTCGAACGATTCGATGAACCCTGGTGTTAGTGATTTTCAACCGCCTTCTACAAGGCCTGACAGGCCTCTGATATGGTTGTGTAACGATCGCCGAACAGCAACCGGGACCGATGGCTTAACGTGCATTCCAAAGCACGGATTCATCTTGCTTTTCGGACAATTAGGTAGTTCAGATTGCAATGTCCTGACCAGACTGGGAACAAACTCACAAAGTGATAATTAATATCAACTAAGTGAGTGACCCCACCGAGAATTGAACCCGAAACCTTCTGCGTCGGAGGCAGTCGTTCTGTCCACTGCGTCACATCGGCTGTCACTGGTTGGCGATAACGGGAGTTCGCGCTTCATGGTGAAGATACCCTCGGAGGGGCCTTCGTCTATCAGTAGAATTCTGTATTTTTTTTATAGGATATTCATTTACAAGTTAATGAGGTCCAAAACTGCACTGGAGCCGGTAATGGGGAATCATTACAGGGTAATTGACTCGCACGGTCATTCTCGCGCTGATTCATTTATTAAAAGACCACTGTGCGCTAAATTGATGGCGCTCGTTCGATTTTACCGTGCTGCTTTACAATCACATACATAATATCACGACTATATCACTTGCGAGATAGGCAGACCGTAAACGGCTGAAAGAACTATCTTTGAATTTAACTAACGCAAAAACATCTTCAAAATATTTCTTTGTAAATAGCTATCTCTATCAAAGGTACCTACGAGATAACTGTAAGGTTCAGTAATTTATAAAGTTTTGAAAAACTAACTCCTTAACGTAAATGGATGTTGGCCTCCGAGACGAGCTTCTTCCGCTGAATATTGTCCTGCGCCACCTCCAGCCAATTATTGACTTGAAGTTGGCCTGTCAGTCAGCCACCATGTCCTTTCAGCGGTACCTTGGGTGCCCGATAGGACAACGTCTTGTACGCCGACCCATGTACGTAAAAGCTTTCTTATAATGCTATAAGCGTGGGCGACTTTTATTTAAATTTTTCACACAGAGGTGTTTAAATATATTAAGCGACGTTCACATTTATTTATTTAACGGGCATTAACGGCACTGCCAATAAATTACCCGTTAATGATGCCCAATTACGAGGCAGAGTGCAGTTTTTGAAGTTCGAGCCAAATTGGTGGTCGAAAGTCGATTTTCGCCAAAAAAACATACATAGATGCAGTGCTTTTTCATACCATGGGAATTGATCCAATCACTTTTTCTTGTTGTGCCAAGATTAATTTATCCAAATAAAGAACTCTATCTCAGAAGCCTTGAAATATTTCAGAATTTTGAGCCATAATGATTGAACATTATAGGTAATCTTTATACTTCTTGATATTGGTCAAAATACTCCAATTTATTTGTGCAAGCAGTAGTTACTTAACTATTTACTTTTTGATTGATATTAATTTCAGTAAATAATTTAAGTTGTCGATAATAATAATCTAGAATTATTAAGTACCTACCAGGTATTTGCATGTTAGAAGTTACAGAGCAGAGTATTTTCGAACATAAATTGCTAAGCAGCGTCATCCATTAGTAATTTAAAACAAAATGAACACATTATTGAATGGCAGAGTTCCAAAGTAATACTTTGTCTAGTTAGTATGTTTACTACTAAAATATTGTAAGTTCTTAGCTTAAGTGATAAATGATTAGTTTGACACAGCTTAACCAACTCCAACTTTGACCACCCAAAAAATAATGTCTGCAATCTGAATGAAGGCAATTACTGAGGCAAGAAATCATCAATATATAGAATAGAATGTTGTCTCAATGAGTCCCGATAGTACCAGTATCCCAACAAAAGCACATAGCTTGTAGATAATCTTTGGAGTTCAAACGCCGCTTCAGCAGACACATGACTCTCTACTTTATTCAATAAAGAAAGTAAAGGCATTATTCAACAAACTTTCAAATCAAAAAGAAATAAGACAGTTACTAAAAGACACAAGCAATCATCCATCTATAGATAGAGTAAATAACGCTCAGCGAGTCCCGATAGTGTCGGTGTCCAAACAAAAGCATATTGCTTGCCGATAATCTCCGGAGCCGCGCCAGTGCCGCGTTCCGACAGACAGCTGCTAAGTCTTTGATGACCGACATTTTCAGATCAAGCTCCCACTCAGTTGTCTTGGAAAGTAAAAGGGTATTATCAAAGCAATTGGCTGTAATCATAAGGAACATTTTTTATCATTTAACCTACATCGATGATTTCTTGCTCTTGAAACTGTCTTCATCTGTTCTCTACATTTTTAGTAAAATGCATGCATGTTCTGTAAAATATTAATATTTGTACGATGTTGATCATACTATACCGGGAGTAACGGAAAGGGAGGAGGTCAGGGTATTCATGAAACTGAACAACTTTCCCGATGGAACATGGTTCGAAATGTGAAAAAAGAAATTGGACCTCCCATACAAAATCGCCGATCAGCTGATTGATTTACTATGGGAGGTCCAAATTTTTTTTCATCTTTCGACCCATGTTTCATGGGGAAAGTTGTTCAGTTTCATGAGTACCTTGACCTCCTTTCGGCGTTTTATACCCTTTCTGTTACTCCCGGTATAGTGCAATGGTCTCCATGCCTTGCATGCAAATTATAAAGTTCATTTAAAGATGTTGTGCTCTTAAAATCTAAACTTCATTGTATACGTAAGTCTAAAACATTTTACCGTGTCTAATATACAACAGTTTAGTTAATAATGCGTCTTACGTTAATAGCAAATTTCATATTCAAGGCATTTCAAGCTACTTAATGAACATAATTATTTATTCTAAGGATTAAGTACCTAGTTTAGTACTTAAAACAAATATGTGCTGATAATGTTTGTTCTTTTGTTTTATTGTTACGAGCAAATCGCAATAGAAATTAATAATATTGTGGTCGTTCAACTGTCGGGTCACCTTGAAGAATTTCAGTCTTGTATTCTTTAAAAGACGTCTTTTAAAAAACTGCAATACTCTGTTACCTTTCAAGACCACGGGATCAGAATGAAAATAGGTCGGCGATAATTCAAGGAATGATTAGAAATCCTTTTATAATCCGGGTTTTCCTATCTTCCTCCAGACATATCAGTCAAATTATACTGGTTCTTTACAACTGCAATATGGAAAATGGATAGGTAAGTTCCCATTAGTTGATACCTTGAGGTGCCGCTTACCTACAGCACGCACGTTTTTCCCTAATGCTTTTAAAGTAACTGTAATTTTTCATAGGAACGCTTCACGCTATGAAATAAAATACGAGTATTCTGTTACAATATAATCCGCACTGAGAACACAGAAGTTCACTCACAGAGCATTGTTATGTGAATGAATTTGTATCACATACAAAATGCAAATCCAATATTCTGTGCGGAGGTCAGAACTGCAATGATATTTGTATGAGTTCAGTGCAACGACCACGCCGCCTTCTAGACGGCACACAATAGGCGAGTAGTTTCTGGTAAGACATCAGCGGGCTTATCTTGCACGCGGCATCAAACCATAATATAGATTGAATACCAAATTTTAAAACACTTCTCGTGTTAGGTAAACAATTTTTGGAAAACTTCCAAAATTTTCACCGCAGGCAGGATTTGAACCTGCGACCTTCGGCATCAGTACTGCCGACGCCCTAACCAACTGGGCTACCGTGGTTCTAATCGAGCCCGCGAAATTATGGAAGTATATCTTGTCCACTATCGCGTGGATGGGCTCCATCTACCGGGATAATTTTGCAACTAATTCCCAGCGACTAATTCATTCTTTACAGATTGAATGTAGTCAAAGCGATGAAAACCCGCGATAAATTGAATACCTTAAAACACTTCTCTTAAACTTCTTCTTCTTTTAAAACCTAACTGGTTAGGGCGTCGGCAGTACTGATGCCGAAGGTCGCAGGTTCAAATCCTGCCTGCGGTGAAAATTTTGGAAGTTTTCCAAAAATTGTTTACCTAACACGAGAAGTGTTTTAAAATTTGGTATTCAATTTATCGCGGGTTTTCATCGCTTTGACTACATTCAATCTGTAAAGAATGAATTAGTCGCTGGGAATTAGTTGCAAAACTATCCCGGTAGATGGAGCCCATCCACGCGATAGTGGACAAGATATACTTCCATAATTTCGCGGGCTCGATTAGAACCGCGGTAGCCCAGTTGGTTAGGGCGTCGGCAGTACTGATGACGAAGGTCGCAGGTTCAAATCCTGCCTGCGGTGAAAATTTTGGAAGTTTTCCATAATATAGATTTTTGAGATAGGTACACGGAAAAATTCGTAGCCCACAGAGCTATATTCTCGATGTAGTAATTTTTGATGATGCGACTCTAAACTGACCCATCACGCACGTATTACAATGCTCTCGACCCGCATACCTGAGATTGTTGATATTATATTATTTGACTGGGCCGGCTGATACATTTTGTATCGGAGGTCCCAATTTTAAAAATATTTGCTGTTGATTTTTTTTAATCCCACGTATGTGTGCTGACGTGTTGCCGTGTGATGCTGGCTTAGAATAGCATCCCCAATTCTACCCGTGGGTGTCGTAATAAGCGACTAAGGTATAATCATCCAGGGAATGGGTAGCAGCGTTCCCTGTAAATGCAACATCTTTTACTGCGCTCGCCAATCCGCCTGCCAAGCGTGGTGAGTATGTGCAATACCCTCCGTTAGGGGCAGGCCCATGTCCAGCAGTGGACTGTTATGGCTGTTATGGTATGTGTGCTTTGAGAAATGTGCACATCAGGCGTCTAATAGGCTGAGTGGTCGTTGAGTTGTGCGGTTTTTCCCAGCTGCGTACAAACCCTCGATTGCTTGTTCCATCTATGAGATATTGAGTTCGCTCATGTGAACGTTGCTTACAATTGAGGGTACATACATAGAGTAAAAAAGATTTCTAGATTGCGTCTGTTGTATCACATAATAACTCAATCTTTGTTTGTGCTACTGATGATCTTCGTAGCATGTATGTAGAAAAAACTTGATGACACTAAGCGAGGATCCTCAGACGCGTACCTAAAATTCGAAAGACTATTGCTCATGCTTTCGTGAGAAATTGTAAATACTAATTTAAAATAAACAATATTGCCATTTTATTTTTACGTTTCTCGAGCAGTCCGTCTCTCTTCTCTTTTCGTGTGGGACACCGAGTCGTTTAACGACCCGATGAACCCGGTGTCAGAGTTTTTCAACCGCCTACTGCAACTAGCAGGCCTCTGACATGGTTGTGTAACGACCGCCATCATAGACAGCAACTGGGACCGACGGCTTAACGTGCCCATCCGAAGCACGGAACCATCTTACTTGCGGACAACCAGGTGGTTCAGACTGCATTGTCCTAACCAAACTGGGAACAAATTCACAAAGTGATAAATATCAACTTTGTGAGCGATCCCACCGGGAATTGAACCCGGAACCTTTGCGTGGCAGGCAGGCATACTAATCTCTGCGCCATATCGGCTGTCACTTCTTGGGCAGTCCGTCGACTCGAACCAGTCGTCTTAAGACTGGGTAATTAAGCCACAAATATTTTTTTCCATACAAAATACAAATACACTTTCTTTTCTTCTGATTCCCAAGGAAACACTCAAGAAATAATCTCAATTGCTTGCATAGCAAAATAATCCCTCTTGCCGACCCGTTTGAGTAATTAACAAGATACCTTTACATTATCTTAATGGCTTGCTGATTCTTCAATGGGCCATATAAAATGGTTATTATCGGTAAAGTAGTCATTAGGAGACGACACTGATTGCTGATTTGATCAGAGGAACTTTGATTTGAAACCCGAGTAAAGGCGGAAATACACCTGAGGCACAAAATAGAGAGTTTACAGAAAGTTCACTCGGCCCTATTTCTGATTTTCGCGATGGGCACTTTACTTATTTACATAACATTGCATACCTTTATTACATAGCCAGGGTTGCTACTATCAAAAATGTCAAAGTATTAAATCAATGATATTATATGTAGTTGATTAAATCAAAACAGCAAAAATTGATAAAGAATGTCATATGATTATAAGCCAATTTTAAATCCAAGAAATTTGACGTTCGTGTCAACCACCTTCTTATTTACCTTGACTTCCCCTGAGATTCCGGTTATTTCCAGTTAAAGTCAGTATGCATCAAAATCGTCATTAGTACTGAATGAGCCATCTGTATATAGGCGTCCAGCGCGCCGTTTCAGTAATTTGTTCAAAGTGTAGACGTGAGAAGTCAGACATGAGATGGCATCTGTCAAATAGGTAAGTGATCGTCGGAGACGTGAGACGTGCAACATCGGGACGCTTGAAACACTTTCCATAAAACAAAGCTATACACCTGAGATGCGCGTTTTATCGATAACGGTTGACGATTAGGTTGTCTGACAGATATCATGCTTCGCGTGGCGTCACGCGTCTTTTCTGTGGAGCTTGTAAGGGACAACACACAGTATTTTAATTTTTACTATTAGATTAGGTGGCGAAATACAAGATGTAAGTATGAGAGATATGAAAGCATGCAGTTTTTTTTTTATCCGATATGAAAGTGTATGTTACGTTAGCCAAGGAACACACGTAATGTCCGGTTTTAGCGCAGCGCTATTGGATGTTTCAGAATAATACGATGTTTTAATGTCAAAAGGTTTGACGGACGCATAAAGATGTCGTTAAATTAAAAAAATGTTTTTTAGAAAATTATTTTAAAACTGTGCTGTTTCTATCTTTAATAAAAATATTTTCCTTCACAGCACAGGAAGTAACTAACCGGAACGTTATAAGTAGTGGCGCGAAGTTTTCTTGTTAAAACTTCCCTATTGCGGAATGAGAACAATAATTCCTGAAATGTCTTCCTCATTAGGCAGCAGAACCCTTCTCCGCCGCGCGCAGTCGGGTAAGATTCGTGGTTAATCAATTTCTTCTGTTTTATAAAGTTTGGATTACTTTTGTTTCCAAATTTTGAAGAGGCCTTGTTTCGTTTCATCTCTGAGATGGATGAGTATTTGGTACTTGAAATTAGCAACATATGGGAAGATGAGTTAAATAGCATCAAGAAGTTGAATCTTATCTTTCTGCCACTTTCCGTGGTGCCGGCTTAGAATAGCATCACCCCATATCTTTCCCGTTTTCCCGGTTTTGAGAGTTAATGTGTATTACGTGATGTAATTTTTGAAAATAAAATTAGATTTACAAAAATCTGCCAGGATTTCGGATGGCCACTCATAAAAAGTTTTGACCTCCTAAACATGACCTATCTAACGCTATAACTAGCATACCTCCATTCGGTAGCCTTATGAGGTAAGACTTTGTCAATGGGAGCTTAATCTATAAAGTATCATAATGAACAATTGATGTTTTTTTCTCTTTTTTGAACTTTCTCTTTTTTAAGATTGTATTAGAATATGACTTTCTTTAAGAGAATCTTGTACATTCCTACAAAGAAATAAATAATTGAATTTTGAATTTTGATGAAACATAACCGAAACTGAAACATTGAGCCAAGTTTGAAGACAAGATCAGACGGGCGCGGAGGAATCGCAAGACTCAGGTGCCGCTAGGTGACGCTGCTTGCTACGACGTGATTACAGCTACGAGAAACGTAGCTCGTAGCAGCTACGACTACGAACTAAGAATGGATAGAAGATAACAACTATTAAATGACGGTACAAGATACCCGATGAAAATGTTAAAAACTGACAAAACACAGCAAAATTAAGTCACTCGTGTGTGAACCGCCTGAATATTCGTAAAGGATTTTACATAGATATTTCGATTTGTTTATTATTTATCATTGTTTTCAATTCTGCATAATTGTTACAATAAGTTTTTAAATCTAAGCAAATCCGTTTGCTGCGAATTTTCCTATCTGTAGTTGAAACTTTGAATTAGATTGTTCGCCTGTTCGGTTCTTTTCTCTTCAGAGTGTGACAAATCTTCACAAATGTGTATCCCGTTTGTCGTGTGATGCTGGTTTAGAATAGCATCACCCCATATCTTTCCCGTAGTTGACGTAAGAAGCAACTAAGGGACTAGTCTTATCTCAAGTCTCTTGAGAGTTCATGTGTATTGTAGTTTTAGGCGACAGGATGACAAACTATCACTATAGTGATACACAGTTTTCTGAATGATTCTCAAACTTTTGTCAGACGTAGTATAAATGGCCGGTTTTTACAACCGTTTATTTTTAAATTCCTAAGTCACTTTTTACGACACCCACGGGAAACAATATGGCGTGATGCTATTCAAAACCGGCACCACGCGGCATCTATTGTCTTACTAATAACTATTTTCTTACTACGTAATAACGTTAATTAAAATCACATATGTACAGAATTAATTAAATCTCGAGTAAATGTTATGTAAGAAGTGGGATTGAGCTATGAGCAAAACCCGTGAACAATTGTCGTGAAGGAATTTCATTTGTATGAAAACAAAGCGTCTTATAGATTTTCCGACTTTATTAGGTGTTAATATTTACATGTATGAAATGCTCATAGAAGCCAATATTGTTTTTATATTGGAATTCGTCAGAATCCGAATGTAAGGGATTTCCTGGGATTTCAAAGCAGCAGTATTGAACCTACTAGGTCAGAACCTATACGCCTATATCCTTTGCGGGGTAGGCAAAGCGTAAAAGGATGTAAAAACGGCCATTACATCACGTTTGACAAAAGTTTGAGACTCATTCAGGAGACATTCAGCCTGTCACCTAAAATTGCAATACACTTCAACTCTCCAATCCCCTAGTCACTTTTTACGACACCCACGGGAAATGTATGGGGTGATGCTATTCTAAGCTGGCACAAAAAGTAAAAGTAAGAAGAAGTACCTAAACATAAATCAATCGAGAATTAACGATGTAATCAACGACAATAAACTTTAAACTGATCGGCACAAAGCGATTCCCAATCAAGTTGAATCTCTATTCGCAACAGATCGTCTACATAAGTTCGCGGACTTGGTAAAGAAGTTGCCGGAACTTGTACTGCGAGTTCAGGGAATTCTAAGCAAGCTATACTGGGTGAAATTTTACTAGTGACCGATAGCGAAAACCCAGAATCGGCTGGTGATACACACACTCCCTTTCGTTTTGTAACTGATAGACGGAGGGGTTGTGTTCGTACCCGTGCTAACCGTTCATACTTAGTTCGACGCACTTTATAGCTAGCTGCTATATTCTCTAAGGAGGATTTGGTCAGAATACGTGATAGTTGCCCGCGGGCTCCCTTTAAACTTT